GTAGTTGATCATATGTCTAAACACGAACTACTAATACCTTGTTTAGATGTGACTGAGTAGTTTTTAATGCTATATTCAAAAGTTATGATTTATTGTCTGTCTGTCTGGATTCAACATAGAACTTGGCACCGAAGTGCAGCAGTTCGAGTTGCCACGTTCCAAATAGCACACAGAAGTAGACAAGAAGATGAGTGAAGAGAATCAATAGAGTTTGACAAGTATAAGAGTGAAACAGAATGGGTAATGGTAGAAAGGAATATGAAAGATTACAGAGACTGAATACATCTGCGCTGGCCATTGACAACGATTTTGAGCCATGTCACCTATTGTCTCCAGCCATTGATTCCTAGAGTCCCGAGGGCCCCAACCCGGGAGTCTGCATCTCCCTACCTGACTCAGTTTAACTGTCAAGGATTTCATGGATTGATGAGGCCATGTTTTTGTTTGGCCACCACTGGCTCTTTTCCAACCTGAACCTATATCAGCTAGCAATGCCCGTCGGGGGAGGCGGTGGTTAGGCATGCGCACCACGTGACCTAGCCATCTTAGTCTATGTAACTTTATAGCCTCGTCGATTGATTTTCCCTCTTTGCCCAACACTCTACGCCTAACGTCAACATTACTTACCTTATTAAACCACCTAACGTGAGACAGAGATCGCAGACATCTATGATCGAAAGCAGTCAACCTTTTCATGTCTTCAACGCGTATTGGCCATGTTTCAGAGCCATAGAGAAGGACGGAGCGAACTGATGAGCAGTACACACGTCCCTTGGTTGATAACCGGATGTCACGCCTACGCCAGAGATGGTGTAAGTCAGCGAAAGCAGCTCGAGCTTTTCGGATCCGTGCTGAGATTTCATCGCCAATCAGTCCGTTGGTGCTAATACAACTTCCCAAGTAGGTGAAGTGGTCAACATGTTCTATCACTTCACTCCCTATCACTAAGTTAGGAGTTGACGTAGTCCAGTCCTGTAGCAGCATCTTACATTTTGCAGGGGCGAATCGCATGCCAAACATACGAAGATTGCTGCTCAAGGTGTTCAGAAGACTCTGCATTTTGTCAGCATCCTCCCCTAACAGGACTATGTCATCTGCATATTCTAAGTCCATAAGACTATTCCCTGGTAACAAGTCGATTCCTAAGTCATTACGTTCAGTTAAGGATACTTCCATCAGCATATCTATGATGAAGTTAAACAGAAATGGGGAAAGTGGACATCCCTGTCGGACACCACTGGTTGTTACCAATTCAGATGACAATTCCCCATAAGCCCTTACACGACTACGTGAGTTTGAATAGAGTGCCTTGATTAGTGCAATGTACTTTCTTGGCACTCCCTTCACAGTCAGACATTGCCATAGTACCTTTCGATCCACGGAGTCGAAGGCCGCCTTCAAGTCAAGAAATATGACAATTGTTGGACGCCGAAAAGTGTGTCTATGTTCTAGAATCTGTCGAAGAGTGAAGATATGATCTATGCACCCTCTACCTGGTCTAAAGCCTGCTTGATTTTCCCTTGTCTGTTCCTCCCGAGTTCTGCTTAGTCTATGCATGATTACTGAGCCTAGGATTTTAGAGACTATGTTCGTTAGGCTGATCCCCCTATGATTATCACACGAGGACTTGTTTCCCTTCTTGAATATCGGTATAATAAGTGACTTACCCCAGTCTGATGGAACTGTCTCTGATTCCCAGACTTTGCCTAGTACCTCAGTTAATCTACAAACTAGTATGTCACCCCCATATTTAAACACCTCCGGAATAATTCCGTCGGGTCCTGCCGCTTTGCCTCGTTTCAAATTACTGATAGCTTTTGTGACCTCACTTACAGACGGCGGACCAGTGTCTATATCCCATTCGGGTGTGTGCTGGATGTCGGGGAGGTTCAGTGTGGCTGTAGGCAAGTTAAATTGTTCCTCAAAGTGTTCTTTCCAGCGTTCAAGGCGTCTATCCTGAGAGCTAATTAAGGAGCCATTTTTCTCAGAAATAGTCTCACTTATGATTTGCCTTCTCCCACCCGTTTCCCTGATGAGTCTAAAGAGTTGCCTAGTGTTGCCTATCGCCGATGCTTTTTCCATCTCTTTTGCCTTTGTCAGCCACCACTGTTCACGGTCCTTGCGGAGACTTTTAGTAAGTTTCCTTTTGTGCAGCTTTCGCTCCTCATTGAATTCGGAGCTCGCCGGAATAAGTCTTCTAGCATCTATCAGTTCGGATGAGGCAGTCGAAATCCAGTGGTTTTTACTCACCTTTGGATTTGCCTTATTCACAGCTTTTACAGCTGTATCTATAGCTGACTGAATATTCTTCCAGGCTTCTCCAGGGTGAGCACAGCTGTCGAACTCAGATATTTATTAAGAATCTGGAAACTTTGAATTATCTTTAGGTTGATTATTAGTGCAATGCTTTTTTTACATGATTCTCGTCGTCTTCCGTCTTTTAACAGTAAACTAGTCAGTTGATGAAGCGCCCCCGTCTACTCTATCTGCAGTTATTATCATTTTTCCTTGGGTTTCAAGTAGAAGGTAGGGCCTCTACTGCACATCTCCACCTTATTCTGTTCTCTGAAATCCTCTTTAGCTCACTCCACCGTTACCCGAAGCACTTATTTCTACTCACACGATCTCCTGCATGTGTACCTCGGACTCACATCCAAATTATCGTTCCCCATTCGGATTCCACTCAAGTGGTGGTCTGCCGCGCGATACCATTCGACGGTCTCCTCAGAGTGTACCCAGTCCACCTTCATTTTCTTCCCCTTATTTGTTGAGTAATACATTCCTAGTTGGTTCGTTCCCAGGGTTTCTTGTTGCTAATTCTTTCTGGCCGGCCATTTGATCTTCAGAATAGAACCACAGAAAGTAGCGGCTGGTAAAATTTTGAGATTTTTGGGACGTGTGAGTCAAATTTCTAACCCTTATAGAACTGACTTAAATTTTTTTAATTTCCTTCACGTTCCCATTGGAACATAGGGCTTCAAGCTAGTGGCTTGAAGTTTCTATGGTAGAGTTTAATTTCACAGGACGGGGTTGCTAGTCTCATGCTCAACCTTTCCTCTTCACCAGCATTATTTCTGGCTCAGCGAGGTAAAGGAGTGTACCAGCCGGGGATCGAACCCCGGACCATGTGCATGGTCGGTGAGCGTCCTAACTGCTGTGCCACCGACGCATGACTTAATATTAGTGTTGAAAATCTGAATTTTGTTCTTTATGCCGGCTGAGTGTAGAAGATTTCCAGACTGATGAATGTCTATCTTACCTTTCTGGTCCTACGCTTGACATAGTCATCCATGCCACCTGCATGTATTTGGAACGATGTTATCTAGATAATGAATGATGAATTAGTTAACATTTCCAGATCTAGTTAGCTATCTAATAAGCCAGCCAGTCAGCTGACTTCATTATACAGTCAATGAAAACATGACTGATTTTCTGCTGATCGATATCCTGCATCTTTAACTCATAGTTTATGTGTCTTTTTTAAGAGAAAACTTGCTTACTATTATGATACAGAGGTCTGTACAGTAAAACGTAAGACTGAAAGATCATCGCTGCCACAGCGTCTGGTGGGTTGTGATAGTGGGATTCTAGCTGAAGTGTCGTATGTTAATGAATAACATCTCATTAAAGTAATATCTTTGAATAAACAAATTAGCACATGAGCTGAGACTCACACATACTTAACTTTTTTCTAAGGTCTTCTATAGCTGGTAATAGAGTTTTTTTTTAAATACACGAATGAGGTTCTCTGACAGTTGTCATTTGAAAAATGTCGTATGCAGTTTAACTTCAGACTTTGTAATCACACAGCACAAAAACACTTCTGAAAGATGTAAGTCTGCATGGTTGGAGCTACCATGAAGTATCAAAACCCTTCACACTTTCAGCAATATGCCTCATGAACACTGGTAATATTTTTCAGTCTTTTTTCCAAACTCTCCTCTCTTTGTCATTCGTTTTTGTTATTGATGTTAGCAACCTCGCAGGTTTCCCAAAACTTTATTGGTTTGTACCTATTGCTAAGACTGCGAACCAAAGTGGGGGATTTCTTGTTTTACTACTAACTCAGGATGTGTATGATTCCCTCGACACAGAAAGTGATATAACATCGTGTAGGTGGTTTAAGAGAAGATTTACGAAGCAACGAAATGACCGGTAAAGCAGAATAACACGATGTAATTTCAGAGCTTCTTATTACATAGTTACGGGAAAGCAAGACAAGCTTTCATTACTCTCAAGTCTGTGTGGAGGTCAACAGCACTCACCATCAGAAATAAGATCCGGATTTTCAACTCCAAACCAAAACATGGCACCAGTCAATGAAATCTACAACAGTTATTCTAAGCCACGTAGGAAGGTGTAGACTTTCTGGTTGGGGTCCTCGGGACGGTAAAAACCAATGGTTGGAAACTATTGGTGACATGGCTCAAAATCGTTCTCAACGGCGCAGATGCATCCACTTCCTGTGATTTATGATTTCCAATGAAACTGTTTTGTTCTTCGTTATTACTCTACCTTTGTCTCACACCTCTGCTTACTGTCTCTATTATGCTTTTCTTGTACTTTCTTCTCTTGCTTTGTGTGCTACAAGGAGGGAGTGTGGCGACTTGAACTGCCGCACATATGTGCAAAGTTCTATGTCGAAAACAGACAGACAGGTTTTTACAGAAGAAGCTACACAAACGGAAAGTAGTATTGAGCTGCAGTAAGTTGTCACAACAGGCGTTTATCTGCCACATAAGTTAACGCAAGTTGTAATGATTGACAAGTAAGCAATCAAACAGTCTAAAAAAACATTAGAGAATAGTCTTTTATTATCAAAACCTTGGGATGGAATTTGTACACATGTAAAAACCAAGAGTATTTACACAGATAATAATAATAATTAACAGATATCTCTTTTTACACTGTGGTCTGTAAATCTCACAGCAAAATAGCAAATTTACAGTGTGCGAGAGTGTATACACATATATGTACAGTTAGTTACTTATATATACAATTCATTGTTTACTTCGTATAGCATGCTCCAAGTGTTCTCTGTCTGTACCGAATTGATAATAATGCGGAGCTAATTCTAATAACCAATCAGGCTGTATAACACTAACACCACTGACACATGTGCTAGATGGATCATTTTTATCAAAATTTCCAATTTTTCCAGAATTATTACCATCATCTAAATTGGGTGTAAGAAAAACATTTGTAAACAGTATATACGCCGGCCAACGCGATGTAGATGAGTATAAGACACAATTTGGATGTAAACGTAATTGATGATCTCCTCTGATAGTCAGATAATGCGATCCAGATGGACCTAGACGAGCAGCCTGTTGAAAAAAGAAAGGAAAGAATAGATAAAATTAAATATATCACGTGTAACTACAGACTAGACTATCGATCTATGATAGTCTGTTAGTCAGAATTTAAATTATACAATTATTGATTTCCTATACATTAATCGGATGGGCAACCAATCAGATTTCAGCCATTACCGCCAGTCAATAGGCGGCCCAATTTCGTAACATATAATCAGCCCATCATACTCCTTCTTATGAATATTGTAATTACTATACTTCTCACAGGCTCCTTAGGAAATACACATCTCTAAAATATTAATATGCGAGTCTTCTTGAAATGACCAATTTGGATCAAGAGTGCATTTCATTGTTAAACTTTATTTGTGCGAAGATTCAGTAAACAGTAACAAAATACTACTAATTATAAGGTGAAAGGAAAACATTCGTAGGAGAATTCCATCTCTAGAGAAATCACTGGGGAGGGGAGGGGTTATTTATGGCATATGACGGTTATTCAACCGCATTGATTACTCTTTTATTTATCCAGTGTTGTATTTATGACACAAAAAAGTATTTTAATAGACATGCATCAAGTAGATTCATAAGCAGAAATGCATTGCCACAGTAATACTCACATCTGAAAATTCCTAAGATAATTAACTTATACACAAGTATTATATATAAAGAAGTGATATTTGTGCTACTAAAGACAATAATTGAATACATCCGTGTGGTTATTGTCTCATTTGTATTCTGTATTTTACCAATACACCATGAACACATGTCGACACAGTGGAGGTAAACATTTGGATTCCAGGGAGACTAAGAATGAAGAAGGGGGAGTGTAGATAAGGCTTTTAAAATTTAGGTGCAAATACTACTGAGACAACTTGATCGATGCGTACACGTCGTCTACAGTTTCCAGTTACTGATTAAAGTTATCTATTATGAATGAGTTCACAATTCTCCATACAACTCACGATAACATTTAGGGACATATAACTGAGTATTACATTTTGTCTTGTTTAACCACATTCTCAAAGTGTTGAGTCTTTAAACTGGTGGCCTACTTAAAACTTGGGCTACGCAAAACTTCCATTTCTCTTGTTTGCATTATTTTAATCGATTAAACTATGACCTCTAATGGTATTATTTACTCTTGAGAGTATTTAAAAATTTTACAAACTGTTGATTCGCAAGTTTCTACTAAACTTAAGAGTGTGAGTGGCAATGTATCCCAATAAATGAGATAACTGTCCTTGAGTTATATACTTGGGTCTCGAAATGTACTCCTGAACTTCTTATAATTGGCTTTCAACAAAATTTCGTAGATTTCTCGAAAGAGACAGAGGAGAAATATCATCATGGATTGATCTGTGCTTCAGCTCAGAGAGCATTGTATCACAGGATCTACCGTTAATTAATACTTTATTTGAAGATTCTGGAGGAAGAGAAAATATCATGCAATTATCTCCGCTGAAAATTCTGAACATTATATATAAACACTGTCCAGAGTGAAGCTATTATTACTATCATTATTAGTACTATTGTGACGTAATTTGATGCAATTTTATTTCGTCGATAAGTCGTTCGGATTCATTTCAGTCTTGATATAATAAAGAGGCGTCAATTCTTCTTGAAAGGTAAATAATACTAGCACAACAAGGTGTTATATCAAATATTTTAATTTTATGAGGAATTATCCCATTTTAAATGATAGGGTATCACAATATATATATATATATATATATACCAGATTAGGAATCTTAACCTTATGAACTCATTAGCTTAACTTACTCTGACCTCTAAATGAGGTGATTTCAGCATATAAAGACGATGTTACATAGAGTGTGATGGCTAAATGCGCATAGCTTTCACAAATCAGAGTTACACATCACAAAGAAGAGAGGTGTGTCAAGATTGGGTAATTAAATATCACTTCGATAATACAGCTGGCACAATTTGATTGGACACTAGTAACCAGTGTCCTACATTACAGTCCTACAGGAGGTCAATCGAGAACCGAAATAGCTAGCTCAGTGGTAACGTCTCTGACTACAGCACTGCACTGGGTGACACGGGTTCGAACCTCAGAAAAGGTTGCAGATATGCCTTGGTGACTGACTGGTGAGTGCCAACTAGCACGAAACCAAGATGGAGCAAGGCTTCCTGTCCATTGCCTCCAATCATCTAATACAGCTGGCATAATTTAACAGTACCAATTCAACTCTTTTCACGTGTCACACTACACTAACCAGAAAACTTTTAGTGTAGTATGAAGTTTATCACTGACACTAACAGCTATAAAGGAAGGTTATGCTACACAAATTCAATCTGCCCTTATCTATAACTGTGATGCATAGTTATTGGGGACAGAAGATACAAGAACACTCCAGATATTTTACTCAAATACGTATTTTAATCACTTAATGAGAACAATGAACTTTATATCTCTCTAGTTGTGCATAAAGGAAATCAATTGTAGTAGTGAACTTTGATCAGATAAAGTGTTCAAGACTATAATAGTGTTGACGACCAGCTTCTCAGTGTATCAGGATTAAATACAAGTACAGTAGAAAAGACTTTAAACATCACGACCTTACTCAAACATGACACCAGTTTAGTCGACACAGAAATCGTCATAGATTTTTTCGAAAAATCAGCAGTCGAGATCTTTCTTAAAGAGTTGATCACATCGCTACCCTTTACTCACGCTTCTCTATTAGTTCAATTTTAAATGTTCGCTTGCTCTGTGTTTGAAGTACACACACACACACACACACACTGAAAGGTATATCAGTTCAAATAGCGTATTTTGAGAAGGCACAAATGGAAGAACAACAATGAAATGTGATGATGATGCTACAATAGACAGGCATGAGTGTCACGAAGAGAACAGTTAAATGAAGATTAATGAGATATTTTAGAATCTGGAAAATGACAAGGAATAAATACACAGAGTGGGGGGGGTCATTATGTATGAATTTTTAACCACTTCATGAAGAGTTCTCAACCATTAATACTTACTAAACCCACACTTTCTCGCATGTATTATTGATATAAGTATAAAACTTGGACACTGTGGTAGAGTATAACTCCATCACAGATAAGATTTTATTTTGATAAATCACACAGTGTTATACAGTAGTATTAACTGATGACATTTCGTGCACAAATTATTCCTCATAATCATATCAAGTCACTCACACAACTTTTTGCTTCATTTATATACATGAATAAAATTGAAGAGATATTTGAATAAAAATCAACATAAGATAATGTACATTCAGAAATAATATTAATGTTATCAACCAAATACAATCAGTTGGGAAATAAGAGGTTTTTATAGTAAAAATAAGTAACTTGTTAGAATGTTATAATGTGATTTGACTGGTGGTAATAATATCTTCCATATCGCTGGTATTTGCCTTGAATTACTTCTGTCAATCACGTCTCAAAACCGTTAATGCCGAGCTCTTGCTACGCCGGGCCTCTCGCTGTCCCTCGAAGCCTTTCAGAAACGCTTTGTACTAACGGACGAAAAAACCAAAACACTGTTTGGTGACTCGAGAATTCTTTATTCTAACACCAACATATAACCAGCATAATAACTAAGGTCTATGAACAAATATTACAATAATAAATCACGATATTACTTCTGACGGTTTTTGATCTTCTTTCTGAACAGCGACCGATGAGACGATGACTGCTGTATTGATGCCTCCGCGAAAATATAGGGAAGTTGGGTTTGAGCAAACAACCATGAATTGATCGTTCAATCTTCCACTACATTGACAACTTCTATTGCATGTGTTGGGTGTAGATTATTCGATGAACCAGGATTCAACAATCAATGACTCTTGCTCTGCACCTACCTATATTACTTCTTAGAATTTTAACTCTGTCCCACCCACCCTATTGTGTAGTTGTGTGTTAATGCATGCAGTGCGACTGCTGAGTTTTTTTCTAAACTACTTATCTTCGTGAGATCAATCATTCTAACCTTACATGCAACTCACAATTTCTTAAGTGGCTCAAATCAACAGTCAGTAACAACAACCATCAATTATTGATTTACGTAACTCGGATTTTTCAGTGTTCTTTATTATAGGCAAGTCAATGTGATTTATCTCAGTGGGCACTCACAAAGTTAATACAATCTTGAGCCAATAAACAAAACAGAATTAAAAGAAAAAGTTAGCCAAATCACCTGATGAAAGAAACCTCGTACAAGAGATCGAAGTATTGGATTAGGATTGCCTTCAGGTTCAGCTTTCACCCAGGGTAATTTTAAACGACGAAACATAGAACCAATTCGATCACGTAATATAATAGCATGTGCCAAACCACGTTCATTTAAACCAACTTCACGACACCATGTACGAAGTTCTGACTTTGACAATACTTTTGATTGTTGTTCATAAGCAACAAATGCATTCAACTCTGTTAAATGATCCCCTTGATGACATCCAAATGTCTGTCTACGAATACGGTCACCAGTGCGTTTGTAATCGGAGACAGTAAATACTCTTTGGATCTAGAAAAATAAACGGGAGTAGGTAATCATTCATAAATTTATAGTTTTATAACGACAGTATTTTACAACATTTAAAAGTTGTAGAATATGGTCTTTTAAAAATCCACACTAAATTCAGCTACTCACTTGCATTAATGAAACAATAGCAGCAACCTCTTGAGAGCATCCTTCATCACATGCACCTAATAATGCAGCAGCTGCTGACGGTTGATCTAAACCGCATGTTGTAGACACTTCAGCCAACTTCAAACCACGAGGAATTGTAAGATGACCAGAATTTGCATCAAGAGCACCCAGAGCGACAAGTCGTTCTGCCGACTGACCAACATGTGATGGAGGCGGTGGATCAAGCCAGTCAAATTGAGCCAAACGATCAATACCAAGAGTTTTTAGGCGTAACAATGCACCGGACAGATCAACACGTAAAGACTCTGGTAGTGTGAAACGTGGTAAAAGTTTATGAAATGCCTCTTCTGTATACAACCGATAGACCTGTGAAATTTGATGAAAGAAAAGACGTCAATAAAATGAGTAATGACCAGCCGAGTAACAAACATTTATTTACTAAAAAAACCTTTTTCTGTTTTTCCGTTTCACTAACTGTTACCAAATGATTACTCCTTACTGATAGTAGGTGAAAATATGCGATAATGAAAATTCAATCCCACTTATAGACTAAATAAGAGGCTTCAACTACAACCTACTCTCACATCTCTGCACGAATGTATTGGAGAAAGAAATGCAACATGGAAGAATTCAAATGAAATGTCGTCAAGACTTGACAGAATAGTTCTAAAATATTTGGACGCCAAGTAAAAGGTAAATAATTGTAAAAAATTGTATGTGTAATATCTCAGCGAGATTGAAATGAGTAATTCCAACGTTTCCTACGTTCGGCAATTTAATCCGAACTTCTTCAGGGAAATCAATCGAAATTAACATCACAGAGGTTTATACATAGAGGGAACATCTCTTGTTTTTAAAAACTTTGTCCTATCATAAGTCGTGAAACAGGTATCAACATGTATAATAAACAAATTGTACGAGCTGTGATCAAAATTTGACCTCAGACTTACAAATATTGGTCTACCTTGTTAAAAACTTTAAACAGAGTGTGTATGTGTGTGTGGGTAAATAGTTAAAAAACATTTGTTAACGTCTCCATAAGAAAGTATAGCAGTCGGGAATTTTGACCAAGGATTACTAATTAGTGATACATATCCATTTTTAATTATTAATCAGGATATCAGAGTTTAATGGACCTCAGAGATCGTCAAAAGTCTCCAGCCATTGGTTCTCAGTACCCTATGAGTCTCCAACCAAGCAGCCCGAACCTCCTCACTCTCAAAGATCTCATGAACAGACGACAGGTTTTGGTTTGACTATCTCTAACTCTTTTCTAACCTAATCGCATGACGGCTAGCAATACGATTGTCTGTGGAAAAAAGGGCAACATAATCATATGAGTACACACTTACTGACTGACTAGTTAGTCATAACATAATTTTTATTTTATCGGTTTTTCGATATGGAGGAGATGACAGCCTATGAATAATCGTGGAGTGAACTAGAGAAGGACTGAAGAGAACAGGAGAAAATGGACTGTTGATGTGTTGTTGAGACCCTATGTTGCACTCAGAGCCCAAGGAAATAACAAGAATATATCAATGCCAATTAAAAAACAATTACAATGTAACATTCATGCGGCAATAAACTGATGTTGGACAAAACATCTATACTATTCCTGTTTTTGACTCTTTGAAGGAATAAAGTGTAACAATAATAACGCACGCTTCACAATTTCTTAGCAGATTTTCTCTGACCTGAAAAGAACTCACACTCACTATACATTGGGAACGTGTCAATGAGAATTACTGTAATTACAAAATATAGAATTAGAATAGTCATACAAAAAAAAGTATAATACCGCAACTTTGGGTCGATTAGTGAAAGGCAATCAACGTGGTGAAATTTGATTGGTTGTTTATCTGACTAACATAAAGGAAATCAATAATCGTATGATATTTAAATTCATTCACATTCATTCTATGTATAGTTTATTATTTAGGTTGTATGAAGCTGAGAAAAATTCTATGAAATAACATAAATTTATCTTATCCTGCAAAAGTTGTTCTTATAGTGTTATTCAAATTTAAATTCATGACTAACAGACTATTGATCTGGTCTGGACATAAACACCGTCCTGTCAGTGTTAAAGGAGGTTAATGAAAGAAATTAATAATACATTTTAGAATAACTATAAAGGGCAACATTTATGACATAAAGCTAACCTGTCCTGTTCTTGTACGTCCTGCACGCCCAGCACGTTGTCGTGCTGACGCTTGTGATGTAGGTATAGTCACCAGAGCTTCAAGTCCATTGATAGGATTATACGCTCGAATTCGCGAAAAGCCAGAATCTATCACATAAGAAATGCCTGGAATAGTGACTGAGGCTTCAGCGACATTTGTAGCTACAACAACCTTACGACAAGCTCTGGTTGGTCGTTCAAAGATACGCAGTTGTTCGTTTTGTGGAAGAGAACCATGCAGTTGTAGACAACGTAATGGTGGATAAGCTGTAGATGATGTTTTTGACTTTGAATTTTGTTGCTGAGTATTAAGAAAACGTTCTTTTCTATTTCGATATTCAGCTATTAGGTCACCGACTAATTGAGACACTTCATTTTGACCTTAGAAACACAAGATGAAAAAAAAATAAACAATATAAACATTTACAGTAAACTTTTTCTTTCACGTGCAACTCAGTAAATATTTACATTTTGAGATATGAGTCGAATTAACGTGTGACAGCTTATCCATCCAATCAGGTTAGTTAGACAAGTTACAGACAAGCTGTAAAATGTTAACTAGTTGTGAACACAATATTGTAAATCAAAAACTTCAGCAATTCTCACAATACACAGTAGAGTTAAACCTCCTGATTAAAAACTGTACGGTTATATGCTAGACGAATAAGCAATCGCTTTAAACAAATCATTTATCAAGAAACAAATTAATATGGTTGTACCTGATGTACCTAGTCAAGAAAATGGTCATTTTCCGGGTTTTAAAGAAAAGGATGTACTATTATGTTTGAAATCATTAAATCCAACACACAGCCTTGGTCCAGATGGTGTACCAAGCATTCTTCTTCAAAAGTGTGCAGACATCTTGTGTCATCCTCTTACTCAAATCTTTAACGCATCATTTAACAGGGAAACGGTACCTGCTGACTGGAAAGAAATCAAGGTTGTACCTGTACAGAAATCATCTTCTGGAGCAGGTATAAAGTTTAGACCGGTCGCTATAACATCTCCTTTTTTGAAAACTATGGAGAAACTTCTTTTGAATATTCTTAAACCTTCTTTAAAAGCTTTTAGTGACCCTAAGCAGTTTGCTTATAAGTGTGGAAGAAGTACATTAGATGCAGCCATTGTACTACACCACAATATTGTTTCCTGCCTTGATAAGGGCGCTAAGTTCGTTCGAACAGCTTTTTTAGACTATACTGCAGCTTTCGACTCTGTTCCTAGGACACTTTTATTAGGCAAGATGAATTCAGCACAAACAGAGTCCTGGGCAACTAGATGGCTGTCTTCTTATTTTAAGGATAGGAAACAGCATACTGTTTTGGCTGGAAAGCGCTCCACTTCTCAGCTAACTGAAAGTGGTGTGCCTCAAGGTGCAGTACTTTCTCCATTTCTTTTCTCTTTCTTTTTGCATGACCTTCCGAACTCACCCAAAGTTAACTTCATTAAGTATGCTGATGATCTGACCGTTTCTGTCCCTGTAGTTTCCACATCGGATTGTTCCCATATGAATGGCTTCTTAGCTGAAGTTAAGGATTGGTCTGGCTCAAATGGTCTTAAACTAAATCCAACTAAATGTAACACTGTTGATTTCAGCTTGAGAAGTGAAAAAGACATGCATGGATTGATTCAATCTCATGATTGTTGTAATATTGATGGTACCATGATAGAGAGTAAGTCAAGTGTTTCTTATCTTGGCATTAGTTTCTCTTCAAACCTTTGCTGGTCGTCTCATATTCTTATAGTTTCTAAGAAAGTTTTCCGTCTGACTTATTACATAAAGAAGTTGAGACACTCAGGTATAACCCAATCTCTTATCATACAATTTATTAATTCATGTGTTTTGCCCATCATTCTTTATTGTTCTCCATTATTCTTCCCTGGGCTACTCAAGAAAGACCATATAATACTACGAAGAACATTGAGGGCTGTAAGTAGGGTCAGTGCTATCCCTTTGACTCAACTAAATGACACTGTTGTCAATAGGCATATGAATTCTTGTAAACACTTAGCTAAAGTTATCTTATCTGATAGTGAACATCCTCTTTATTCACAATTGTTTCCTTGTATCTCTTCGGGTAAGACCAGAAGAAATTTTATAAACATTTATGCTCGTACTACAAAATATAAAAATTCGACCGTTCCATATTTGGCACGAGTATTGTGTGAAGAGACAAATATCAGAAAAGAACTTTTACAACTTTTGAATCAATAACTAAACTATAAAATGAAATGATGCATATTAATGCATGTGTTATTTGTTATATTATTTATTTATTATTCACTATGACCTAGCAATGGTGTGATTTTGTTGGGTTTTATTTTTTCCTATTAACTATCAATATTTTAACATTTTATACATTTATATAATTATAAACAGAGCTAAACCATTGCAATATGTAAAAGAAACGCTGAAAATTCCATGCTGTAAATTGTTATTGTTGTGGAATAAAGTGATTATTATTATTATTATGAACTTGTCGATATTAGGCAATGGTAAATAAAAAAGAGAATTCAACGAATACTTCTTCTATTATCTGGAAGTCATCATTCGTCTAATATCATCTTATCAAAAAATTTATTTCACTGTATCTATATTAAAGAAATATAAAGGTTTAAACGGAATGTTAAAGAAATAAGATTGCACTCTAGAACATCTATGCACCGTTGCATGCAAGGTCTTCAGGGTATTATTATTCCACCTAGGTGATGACACTGACAAAACGGAAAGTCTTCTGAACACTTTGAGCTACAATCCGCTCCTGTTGTCAAATGTAAGATGATGCTACAGGACTGGACTACATTGACTCCTAGCTTAAAGATACGGAGGGGATGTATTGGTGGCTGAGCGTGTTGACCAGTTCACTTATTTGGGGAGTTGCATCAGTCAGTACCAGCGGGTTGGTCACTGACGAAATATCAGCACGGATACAAAAGGCTCTTTTGGCATACTCAAATTTACGTCATCTCTGGCAGAGACGTGACATCCGGCTGTCAACCAAAGGACGCGTGTACCACTCCGTCCTCCTTTTTGACTGTGAGACATGGCCACTGAGAGTGGGAGACACCAAATGGGCTAGCTGCCTTTGATTGTGGGTATCTGTGTTCTATTTCCTCTGTCAAATGATAGGCTGGTTTCAACATAGAACTTTGCACCGACATGCAGCAGTTCGAGTCGCCAAACTTCCTGTGGTTTAGTAGGGTGGATGATATTCAGATTAGGCGACGAGTGTTAGGTAAGGAGGGAAAATCAATCCATGAGTTTGTGAATTTACACTACTTGAGATGGCTAGGACACCTGTTACGCATGCTTGACCATCTCCTTCCCTGATTGGAAATGTTAGCTGTTGATATACGATTAGGTTGGAAAAGAACTAGTGGTGGTGAAACCACATGGTATCAGTGAATGAAATCCACAACAGTTAGTTTCAGCCACGTGGGGGTGTGTGTGTACAGCCCAGAGGTACATGGGATGGTAAGAACCTGTGGCTAGAGACAATTGGTGATCGTCGAAGCATCTGCACAAGAAGGCGACGTGTCAACACCTGAGACTGAGCACTTTAGTCTAATCGATCGGTGGGATCATCTAAAATTCAATTAAATAAATGGTGATATTGTTCGAAATCATTCTCAATGGCTCAGTGCACACACTCTTTGTGATCTGTCATATGCAATAAAAATCTATCGTTCTTCCATATTACTATTCTTCTCAACACAACTTTGTTGATTATATCTATTGAATCTCTCTTGCTTTGTGTGCTACAAGAAGGGAGTGTGGCAACTCGAACCGTTGCACTTCTGTGCTGAAACCAGTCAGTCAGTCAGTTAGAATCCACCTTATATTTATGTATTTAGTGAGATATTAATGGAAACGTGTTCAAGAGCGAACTATGAAAGATGCATGAGTTGTAAAGTATTTAAAAAAGTATCTGTTTCATAAATGATCAGTAAATTACACAGACATGCAGTTTTTAACCCTATTTTCTTGTTTACAAAAGTTTTGTGAAAAACCAGTTTGTGTATGCCTCTATTTAACCAATAAATACAAGTCGAAGCTGAATCTCCAACTGAAAACAACTTTTTGGCACTCATGTATCTACCTGAGTGAAGCTATGGTTTATCGGTCTATAGACTCGAATTCCAGTAGGCAGTGGGTCTTAGGTTCGAACCCCGTTCCACCTTATCGAGATTTTGGCAACTAGGCAGTATCACTTTCCATCACACAATAGGCTCATTGCCAACTGCGTCAGCAACATTCCACCTCAGTTTTGTTTTTGCCTGAGTTGAAAATCCATTCCAACATCGTACTAGGGATATTAAGTTATTTTACACCCCAAAATTAGTAGGGAAATATCAGTTCGTTACAGAAGACAAGTACGAAGACAACCTTTTCGAATCTTGACAGGGGTTAAACGAATGCTTTTCTGTTGTCAGAAATTAACAATATACAGGATTTTCAAGAGTTCGTTTGCGAGTATGACCACGGATTGATATCAGTTAGAGAACCATTGAAATCAAACAGGGAGTACTGAACAGCTGCTGTGTTATCTTAGTCTGGAAATCATCGACAGTACGCACCCACCGCCAGGGTCCGAACCCAGTACCTTCAGGTTACCAGGCAAGCTCGTATACCATTTGGATCCTAGTGGTAAATAACGGAAAGGTCCCAAGTTCGAATCCCAGTGGGTGGATAAAGGATTTTATTAAGTATTGTGTCATGTGACCATTTCATTTAGACATAATACCCACTGAGTCATAGACAAAGGAAATAAATGGAAGCTGTATATTTCAACGTTAAAACCTAGACAAACTGAGGTTCGGATTTTTTCATTGACGGCATTTCATTTATTTTAGTGTATCGGATTTATCAAAGTAAACTGTGACTTCAATGTTCAGAGGAATAAAATTGACGCATCAAGAAAAACAATTTTTTATCGATTTAGTTAACTCAGATCGATCCAATCATTTAAGTTAACTTAAATGTCAGATAAAGCTTTATTTTAATTTGACCCTATATATGACCATGAACTTTTTATTGTTGTCGCTTGCATTTATTTCGACCTTATATAGATGTATATAGACAAACTCTCACCCATAATTTTATAATAAATGATTGGTCAATTAGTTAGTCAATGTTTGACTCATCCATCTTTATCCCACTTTTTTTGCAACCCTAATAAACAGGGTAGAATAAAATTCTAATATTTTTTTAATACAATACGGGTTGTAGACAGCTGTTTGCTTACTCCTCCTCTAAATAGATGACAAATTATTCAGAGTTGATAGCAAATAAGTAATCGAAGTGTATTTCACTGTCTGAGTGATAGTTCTAGATCTATTGGTTGTCAATAGTCATTGAATTAAGTAGCATAACACTAATG